ATCAGTCATTCAAGTCAATGCTACTTTTGTGATAATGTAATAAATATCTTTTGATTTTAGAGAAACTGACCATCTTTCCTCCTCTTTTTTTTTCTTCTCCTCCTCCTCCACCTTCCCAGTCTCTTTTCTATCCGCTCCTTTTCTTTCATCCATCATTGTTGTGGTTCTGCTGCTGGTTCTGGTTCTGATGGTGAGACGATGTGTTCGCAGAAGGTCTGAGGGTGAGACAGGCTTCTATGGCTACATGCATAACTTGTTCTCTGCAGGAATTAATACAATAAAATCCGATTATGTTGGATGTTCACATGTTTTACAGCTAACGTCTGAAACTGTATCATTTCATAAATGTATTTTATTGAATTAATTTCCCTTCAGGTCATCCAGAAGTTGGAGAGGACAATTTTACTGACAGAGACGTCAACATTTCCCATCATCGACGACTGAAAAACAAAGTTAGCAAAGGTAGGATTGTGTTTATTTTCCTGTGGTTTTTATTTTTTTCTATGATGTTTTCTGGTTTAATAATTCAGTTTTAAACAGGAACCAATCATCAGAACATGTTAAGTCCAGAACTGAAACAGCAACAACAACAACAAAAACAAATTATTAGGAAAGCAGCTTTCAGTACACTGAAACAGCAACAAGTCAACAATAAGATTAGAGATTTAAAACACCAGGATGAGTGAAGAAGGATGGACTAATCTACAAAGATGGATTGAACTGCAGTTTAGAACAGAGAGAGAAGTGATGTTTCAGAGGTCAGAGGTCAGTGGATTCTAGGGTTGAGGAGCTGAGTGAATAAAAGTCCTGCAGCCCATAGTATTTTTTTTCTCCAGCTTTTATTGTCATCACACTGTCACAAGTACAGAGCAATGAAATGAACTATCTGCATTTAACCAATCCCCTTGGCAGGCAGTGGGCTGCCAAAGTGTGGTGCCCGGGAGCAGTATGGGGTAAATGGTCTCGCTCAGAGACCCAGAGTGGCAGTCTGTGGTGTCAAGATTTGGTTGTGGATTGTTGACCCAAAGGCAGAGGCAGGAAGGCAGAGGTTAATTTAATGTTGAGTTGACTGAATACAGAGACAGGTTATCCAAAAATCCAAACATGAAAAAACAAAGTCCAAACAAACAGGCAATAAGGAATACAAAATGAAAACAAGGTCCAAAACAAACAAGAAACCAGGGGTCCAAAAATTCAAAACATGAAAATAAGTTAAAACGAGCCAGAAACCATGGAGACATTAGAGGAATCACTACTCAAAGAAGGAAGGCTCAGAGAGACAAAGCTGGAGCATGTTAGACGAGGTTAGACAAGGACCCAGCAAAGAAGAACTTCTTCTTCTTCTGGGTGTATGTAAATATTGTGCATTTAATTGTGTTTTTGGTTGTTTTATAGTTTTTGTGGGTTGTGGGGCCGTCGGGTTCTGCCCGGCGGCAGTCGGCGTCTCTGCACGCCATGGTGGTGGTGGGGAGTGCTGGAGGTTTCTCCGCGCTGACACGGAAGAACGGCATCAAGGTGGGTGCCGGTTCTCCGTGCAGCGTGGAGGAAGTGTGTTTGGCTGTGGGGGAGGTTATTGGACATGAGTCCATCAAGTCGGCAGCTCGCATGAGTGGAGCTGTCGTTCTGTTTGTGGAGAGAGTGGAAGCAGGCATCGCTGTCAATGGGTTGTTTCTGCAAGTTTCCCCTTTGACACTGCCTGCAACCAGAGTCACACTGTCTAACGTCCCTCTGTTCATCAGTGACGAGTTCCTGATCAGAGAGTTGTCAAGACATCGTAAGGTTGTTTCACCGATTAAGAAGGTGATGTCTGGGTGTAAATCACCGTTGTTAAAACATGTTGTCTCCCATAGGAGGCAACTGTTCATGCTTCTGAACAAGCAAGATGAGGAACTCAACCTACGCTTTCATGTTAGACTGGATGGATTTGACTACATGCTTTTTGCAACCTCCTCTAACATGAAATGCTTTGGTTGTGGACAGGAGGGACACGTAATTAAAGTGTGCCCTGATGGGGCAGGGCGGTGGCCCGCTGCTGCTGAGCAGATGGGGCCCCCGGCTAGTGTGGCTGCTGCTGCGGGGGGAACCCGCTGCGGCGAAGGAGCCCGCTGTTGCTGCGGGGAACCCACTGCTTATGCGCCAGAGGAGTCCGCTGCTGCTGCGGCGGAGGAGCCCGCTGCTGTTGCGGCGGAGGAGCCCGCTGCTGCGGCGGAGGGGCCCGCTGCTGCTGCTGCGGCGGGGGGTGCCGCAGTGGTGTCGGAGGGACCTGCGGCGGCTGAGGAGGAGCCAATGGTGGAGGAGCCTGCTCCAGGTATTGTTGAGGCATCAGTCATGAAAACTGTGAAATCTGTAAAGATGATTGTGTGTGTGAGGAAGGATGGGAGCACGGTGCTGAGTGGTGATGGGGTGAATGGTGGTGAGGGTGAGAGCGCATGTGGGGAGAGAGACGGTGTGCAGGGAGAGCAGGAGGGGGTGAAGGGTGATGAGGGCTATTTGGCGTGTGGAGTTCAGGGAGAGAAAGGTGAGGGGGAGGTCAGAGGACAGGTTGAAGGTTCAACTGAAAACAGCGTGGAGTTGTTTTGTGGAGGTGGTGTGAAGGGAGGGAGGGGTCAAGCAGAGGAGGTGATGGAGCTGGAGGCTCTGCACCTAAAAGAAAAAGCAAAAGGAAGAATGTGGTGGCTGCTGCACAAGTCGGCAAGCTGGCCAGCAAACAGGCCAGCCAGCAGGCTGCAGAGAAGGAGGAAGAGTCAGACAGCAGCGATGCTGAGAGCAGGGTATTTGACACCATGGTTTTATCTGCCTACGCTGAGGACGTTGTTGTTTTTATTAAGGATCAACGGGACGTCAGCCTTTTAACCGAGGTAACTGAAAAGTTTTCCGTCCTGTCCGCCGCGAGGATGAACTGGGCAAAGAGCGAAGCCCTGGCCGTCGGAGAGTGGTCCGTCAGGCTCCCAGTTCTCCCTCAAGGTCTGGTGTAGAAGAGGGACGGTTTTAAGTACCTTGGTGTGTTTTTAGGCAGTGAAGCAATTTTAAAGAAAAACTGGGAGGAAGTGGAAGGAAAAATAAAAAACAGGTTGGAAAAATGGAAGTGGTTGCACTCCCAGATGTCCTATAGGGGCAGAGTGCTGATTTTAAACAATCTTATGGAATCACAGCTGTGGCACAAACTCTCTGTTTTAGACCCACCCTCTGACCTTCTTGTAAAAATACAATCAGAGATGGTTAATTTTTTCTGGAGCGGTCAACATTGGGTGCCACAGTCTGTCTTGTTTTTTTACCAAGAGAGGAGGGGGGCCTTGTCCACCTGGCTGCCAGAACAGCCACTTTTCGTTTACAGTTCCTTCAGAAGTTCCTCACAGAAGACCCCGTGTGGAGAGACGTGGCCAGCTGCATTCTCAGACGTGTAAACTCTCTGGGGCTGGATGCTGCTCTGTTTTTAACAGACTTAAGTCTCTTAAAGATAATAGGGTTGCCTCAATTTTATCAAAATGTTTTTAAATCATGTGCTTTTTTTAAATTGCACAGGTCCAAAACGCATAACTCTCTGCATTGACTTTTAGAAGAACCGCTGGTGTGTGGAGCGAGGCTGGACGTCCACGACGGCTCCGTGCCTGGCCTTCCCGAGACGCTGTCCAGGTCGGGAGCGGTGACCCTGAGGCATCTGGTGCGAGTCGCCGGACCGGATTTCTCGGGTGTCGAGGAGGTCCGCTCGCTGCTGGGGGTCCGGTCCGCCAGATGGGTGCGGCGCTTTCTGGAGCGTCTGAAAGAGCAGATGACTGCTGGGGAGAGACGGCTCCTACAGCTGCACGCCACCGGAAAGCGCCCGCCTGACACGAGCGACCCGTTCCCGGATGTGTACATGTATCCGGACTTTGAGGAGGACAGCGGACCCCTACTACAAAGTCAGAGGATGGATCTGTGCAAGACGGACCCAAAAACATTGTACAGAACTTGCACTAAAGTTCTAAACAAGAGAACTCTCCATAACAGGGCAACACGTGTTTGGACAGACAAGTTCAGAGGACAAAAACCTCAGTGGAGGACTTTGTACAAGCCTCCCATTAAAAAACGGACTGGTGATCTTCAATGGAGAATACTGCATTGCGCCATTGCTTCAAACGCATTTTTATCTGTCATCAGTCCTGAGGTTTTAAATAAATGTCCTTTTTGCAGTTTGCCTGAGAGTGTGTTTCACGTTTTTATGGATTGTGTACAACTGACTGGTTTTTTCAATTTTTTAATGAATGTTTTTAGCCTTTTTAGTGTGGTTTTTACCCATTCTCTTTTTATCAATGGTGTACATTATAACCGAGCCACTGCCTTCAAATCCAGAATTTTAAATTATTTAATCTCTGAAGCCAAAATGGCCATTTATCTGACACGACGAGATAAACTGCAGGAAGGACCTCAGCTTGATGCGGTGGCTCTGTGGAAGTGTAACATCAAAGCCAGGTTGAGGCTGGAGTTCTGCTTCCACAGAGCCACTGGGGATTTAAAGGGTTTTATACAACTGTGGGGTTTTAATAATGTGTTGTGCACCATTTCTGAGCCAGGAGAGCTGAAATATAACAAGCTGCTTTTATAATAATGTCCTGATGACCTGATTTTTTTTAACTGTTTGTTGATGAATCATTGTTAAATAAGTGTTTTGTTAAAAATCAAAATCTATTTTTTAATGGCGGTTGGCAAACAACTTATAGGTGCATTACCGTCACCTTCCAGAATGGAGTATGGATCAGACAATCTATTATATTGTCGTGTTTTACCTTCCGGTGGCGTGGATGTTCTGATGAAGCACACGACAAGGAATCTTCTTTAACGGAACTTTACTTTCTCTAGCAACAGGTGAGTTACAGACACAGCTGATGGTTGATACACTGCGTTGTTTTGGCCTCTAATTAAACTCTCGCAATGATAAGGTTAACTAGACGACTGTGTTGCATTTACTGACTTAACAATAGGCTTGGAGAAATCAAAACAAAAACAAAATAACAGTCTTTTATGCTGATAACAGCTTAAACTGCCTTACAATATTCTCCCTAAAATACCCGTTCTTCTTGGAAAACTAAAAATAGTCCCAAAAATTACATCCACAGATGACCTTTGAAACAATTCCCTTATATCTAGTTTACTTTTATTTCTGTCTAACTCTCTACGCAACATCTCTCTTTCCTGAGTATATTTATTACATTCTAAAAAAATATGTTGGACAGTTTCTAATTTCCCACAAATACAACACGCTGTATTATGCTTAATCATTATTTTAAGAGTACTATTTAAACCTGTATGTCCGAATTTTGTCCTAGATATAATATCTTCTTTTTTAATTATATTATATTTTCTTAATTCTCCAACCTTTTTTTGAATACTATAATAAAATCTAGCATTCCCTCCTTTATCCCACTGTTCTTGCCATTTCTTCTTGAAATACATTTTTATAATATAAAATACATTTTTACTTATGTTAATGTTTAAATCAACATCCTTTTTTACAGCACTCTTAGCAAAACTATTAGCTAACTCATTACCTATAACACCAATGTGAGCAGGTATCCAGACTAATTTAACAACAGAACCACCATTTTTAATCCTAAAAATTGAGTGAAGAATATCCAATATAAAATCTTGCCTTGATTCTGAATTAAATTCTAGAATACTTATTAATGCACTATTTGAACCTGAACAAATTAAAACCTCCCTGTCTTTTGTTTCCTCAATCCATTCTAAAGACATTAAGATAGCCATTAATTGCAAAGAAGAACTGAAGAGAGCGAGCATTTAAAGGAGACTGAGACAGAGAGGACTAATGAGCAGATTAGGAACAGGTGAGCACACAGCAGAAACAAAACAGGAGCTAGGGAAAAAAAGAGAACACAGGGGAGCAGAGGGCAACAAATGAAAACCTGGAAGACTGAAAATAGCTAGAAAACACAACAAAATAATTATTAAACCACTAAGACTATAAAACATGGAGCAAAGAAAAACTAAACACTCACACTAAACACATAACAGAACCAAGACTGAAACAGTAACAGAGAAAAAAAACAAAGAACCCAACAGAATGAGAATTAAGCCATAAAAAAACTATAAAACAAAGAGCAAAACAGAACATCTAGAACAAAGAAATAACATAACAGAAACACAAACCTAACATGTGGGAGTGGGACTCGAATTCAGAACCTCAGGATTCAAGGCTCTATGCCCTAACCACTAAGGCATAGAGCCTACAATCAATTATTGTATAATAATGATGATCTATTATTGAGACATTGTTGTTGGTTCTGTTGTTCAGTTTATCATTAAGCTTTTCTCTGAACTAAACCAGTGTTTACAGTGTTTTTTCACATCCTCACTGTCTATAAATATTAACCTTTTGATGATTGTGCATCTGATCAGTATCTAATCTATATTAGTCTGTAGCTGGTTGATATTCCAGCAGATCACAGTTAAACTAACACCTCCTTTGCTGCACGATGTGCTGCAATTTGTGGTTTTTCTGCTAACTGACTCTAATAGACTCTGCTGCCATCAGACTTCCTGTTTCTGAGTTTTGGATCAATGTGGACCTCAGTAATATTAACCCTTTGTCAAAGTCTCACAAAAGTTACTTTTCAGTTTCTAGCAGAATAAAAATACTTGTTGTGAATTTACGTTAAAAACAGGATTCTAAATGACTGAATGTTAAACAAGAGCTCATAGGTTTTTGCGACCACTTTGCTTCCCCTTTCTGCTCTATTTCTGCATCAGATCATGACGCTGAAGCTTCTAGCATGTGTGAAAGCAGCATGTCTGTCACACCCTGCAGATTAGAGCAAATGCACCTACTTTATGTTGTAGTTTTTGTGTCAGGATCCTCTGTATTTTGTGATCGTTTATATATTTTTGCACCTTTATAGTGTCCTATATTAGAGCCTGATCACCAGAAGTTTTGTGTAACTAAAAGAAATCTGATCTTCTAATCAGGTCGAAGTTAAACTTTATGTCTAAACCTAAAACTGAGTTGGGTTTAAGTTTTTGCATTTTTATCCTTTTCATTTTTCCTTTCTGAGATTTTTCTGTTCTTTTCTCTAAAACGTTTCAGGTTAACTTTGTCAACTGTCAAGATGGTTTAGTTCCAGCTTTTCTATGCCACTTATCCATGTGACTCTGATCAAGGCCCTTAACCCTAACTTACCGACCAATCTGTGTATGAATGTGTGCTTGTTTTACTGGGTGAATGTGTGCATTCACGTTTGTTGTACTCTGTTCCAGGTTGATGTTTCAGGAGTGACTCCAGCTTTGTTCCCATCAGAGACCTTAGTGCTGGTGCCTTTTCACTATTAACAAACTGTGCTTAGCAGCTCTATCATCCCGTGAGGCCATTGCACTTCTATAATGTGTTTAATAAAACATCCATGCAGAGATAACCTGATCATACATTATATATGTTCCCTAACATTAGAAGTTCTGATTATTATATAAATCAAATATCATCATAACATCTCTTAACTTCATCAAGCCTTTTTTTCAACTGTTGGTGGTCGGATTATTAAAGTATGTTTTCTTATTGATTAAATGTTAGATTGTTAGGTGCCATCCATCCATCCATCCATCCATCCATCCATCCATCCATCCATCCATCCATCCATCCATCCATCCATCCATCCATCCATCCATCACAGGTTCCCTGGGTTGAATTATATCGGCTACATATGTACTACTTTATTTTGATTGACAACAGGAGAACACAAAAAAGGTAATAGGACACCTTATGTCAAAAGGAATGATTTACGGATTTATGAATTATTATTGTTTTATTATTTTATGACTTAAATATGTTATGAGTTTATCACTTCCGGACCCCCCATCTTTCCAGAACCCTCCCCATCCTTCTTTTGCAACTCACCTTACGCCACCTACCAGACACACATACACATACCCCACACACCCCCACCACTTTCGTCTAATGCTATTTTTCTGACACTTTCCCCACTTTACCATCAACCAATCTTAAAAAAAAAGCCAGCTCCATTCCCAGGCTTAAAAAACAAAAGCATTTCTTCTTTTGCCAGATTATAAAAAGCTAGGTCCCCATTCATCCCCATTTTTTACATTTACCGTCACTGTAAAAAAAGTCATTAAAATATACAGCAAAACAACGTGAAATAGCAACAGTAAAAGACAGTAAAACTAAAAGCGGTCATTTACTTTTTTAATACATTAAATAAATGTTAATCAAGCGACTAGAAAAACACTGAAAATCTAAAGCTCAGTGATTTATTGTGAAAATGATTGAATATGCATGCATTTTAAAACAAATTGCCAAACAGATAAAAGTTTCCTAATACATTAATATTTACACCATTATTTGGAAAAAACTGCAGGTTACTGCAGAACATCAAAGAGCACAGAGGACAATAATCCACCTCAACTATTGATTTTCATCTAAAAAAGAGATTTCTTAAAGAAGACGGACAGAAAGCAGCAGAGCTCCATTAAAGAGCTGCTTTAATGGAGCTTCTGTTTAAACAAGGTAAAACTCTGCAGGTGCATTTCTGTTGTTCTGTTAATGAGACTAATTTTTTAGCTTTAAAAACAGGAAACATACATTTATATGGTAGAAAGAAAGAGGAACTAACCATAGATTTCTATTTACAGGCTGAAGGCGGGCTTTATTCTGACTCCCCAGCAGGAAACGATCAGTGATGAGATCGTGAAGTGACGCCATGATGGAAACATCTCTGCATTTTCTGCTCTGTGAGTAAAAAAGCTGCTATTTAAGTAAATTAACTGTTTTATCTGTTATAACCTGAGAGTTTGATCAAAAAGAGAATTTAAAGAAAGAACTTCATCACATCAAGCAGGAAGATAAATTACTTTACTGCCCTCTTTGTGACGCTTAGTAACACAGGATTGGCTTTAAGGCACAAAGCTAAGATTTACTGATATTGAAAATGACAGTTATAGGGAATAACAATAAAAATACAATCAATTCAGCAAATGACGTCAGATTACAGATGGAACGTTAAAATATGTCTGGATTGTAAAATTCTCACAAACGTTTACTTGAAAAACTTTAACAAAGGAGTTTAATTTCTCCTCAGTTCCCTGTTTGCTGCTTTGCTGTATAATAAATGAAGGTTGGTTCATTTCTATTAACATTAAACTAAATCAATATTCTGATTAATAAACATAATTTTGTCAATAATATAAATCCATGTATTTTCACGTCCCACTCCTCCCAGCTGCTCTGACTGTGAGTCCCAGCAGATCTCAGTTCTTTAAAGATGACTCTGTGTCTCTGAGCTGTGAGAACAGCAGCTCTGCTGGATGGACTGTATGGAGGAACACAACCAGAGAAACCACAACTCAGTGTGGAGATGGATGGGGGAAACCAGCTGGTTCTACCTGTAAGATCTACGACTTGATCCCAGAGGACAGTGGAGTTTACTGGTGTTGGTCGTCCAGAAAGGGAGCAGCCAGCAGCAGCATCCAGCTCACTGTCACTGGTAAGATCAGACTGTGGAGTTAGTGTTGATGAAGCTGTGTGGAAATGGATGAAATGCTGNGCGAAAGTGATGAAAGGAGGATGGTGGTAGTTAGGGCCTTCCATCCATGT